CTTGTAATAGAAATTTTCATCTTCAAATTTTTCCCCATAAATACTTTCTCCACCTGTCCCATTCTGATTGGAGAAGTCTCCACCCTGAATCATGAATTTCTTAATAATTCGATGGAAAGGGCACCCTTTCAAATGGAGCGGTTTTCCAGTCGTGGGTCCAATGCCTTTTTCCCCAGTACACAATGCGCGGGAATTTTCTGCAGTTTTAGGGACAATATCTGCAAACAACTCTAAGACAATTCGACCAACTTGCTCGCCCCCGATGTCCACATCAAAGAAGACGCAGGGGTTGCTGGGGTTGGAGGGCTTCGTTTGGGGAACCGGGTGCGACATCTTGACTTCCACACGCTGAGACACCTCGTGTTACGCAGCCAACACAGGCCCCACACCGCAACCTGATCGGGACTGTAAATTTTTATGGGAGTAGAACGCCTCATGTTTTCCCCACAAGCTTTGAACCGCTGATCTTGCGGTTAGCAGCTGAACGCATAACACACTGTGCCACCAGGGCTCCTGGAACATGAAGTTCAAACTCACTGTCATCGAGGGTCGCGGTAAGGATGAAATTAGGCGCGGGCAGGTCAATTTCTTAGGCACAGTTTTTTCAAACCAAAACAAAAACTTAAGATATTTATTTTGGCGTTATTCTACATCTTTCCGGTAGATGGCACCCTTCTCTTAGCTTACTTAAAAATAAACGGAAAAACTTCCCTCATAAATCCAACACAAAACTTCACTGCCCTGAAGTTGATTCCGACTCAGAGTGATCAGATTTGACCCAGTGGTGATGCCCCTCTGCTTTCGGAGACTTCAGAACCTCATGGGATCAGAAACGCTTCTCTCTCGTGTGAGCTACTGGTGCGTTCAAACAATTACCTTGTGACTGTTCATTTTTTGTTTTGAAGATATGATATATGTCTCTTGTAACTTCAATGATATCATTTGAGAAGTCACTGATAACCTAATTGTCACTGTTCTTTACGCAATTCCTTTCTAATTACTATTCAAGTTTCTTTCCCTATTGGTTTACTGGAGATTTACCATGACACAGCTAGATATGAATTCATGCATACTTCTTATTTTTCAAAATATTTGCATGCACCTTATCAGTTTGTCACAAATTAATCGATTCTGAAACATTATCAGTCATCATCTGCATTTCTTCCAAATTCTCTCTTCTTCTGGAATTCGAATAGGGCCTATATATTAAATCTCGTTACTTCTGTTCTTTGTTTCTGTCAACTTCTGTTTCTCTTTTCTCCATGAGCTCATTCTGGAAAATTTCTTCAGTCTATATTTTAACTCACCGAATCTTTCTCCCCACCACTCGTCTGTTAGTTTGTCATGCTATGGGAGCTTGTGGAGCTGGAAAATATGTCAAAAGTATTTCAAATGCCAGCAGGGTCATCCACAGTGAACAGGTTTCAGCAGAGCCTCCATACCGAAAACAGACAACTATGATACCCTGTTCCCCCCAAAGTAAGACATCCCCCGAAAATAGGACCTACTTACAGTTTTGCCTCTCGCTGAAATATAAGGCATCCCCCTGAAAATAAGACCTCCCCCAAAATAAGGCTCCCCGACGCTACCGTAACTCTGGACTCTGGACTTTGGACCGTAGTGGCGGGTGCCGCTGTGCTGCGCTGCTCACTGTTGGCTGCAGCGCAGCCAGAGCAGACAGGAAGTGCGAGATCTCTTTTAATAAAACAATAAATGTGTACCATATTCTTCTTCATGGAAAAATAAGACATCCCCTGGAAATAAGACCTAGCGCGTCTTTGGGAGTAAAAATTAATATAAGACACTGTCATCTTCGGGGAAACAGGGTAAGTAGGTTTATTGTGCCAACATGGCCAATGAACACATGAGGGAGTGATTGAAGGGTGGAGAGATAAATGGCTCTGGGAGCCTCACCTTTCTGTTCTCTTGCTCTTTGATGATCAGACCAGTGTGCCACTGCCTTAGCTGATTCTCTGCCTCAGTTTGTGAGCTACACTACCTGTGGGACACCTAAGCCATTGACTGTGTTTCTTTAGTTTGAGGTTCCTTCGAGACCTGCTTCACCACGCTACTGCAGTATGCATCACTTGAATTGGGGACTGTCGGACCCTGTCATCTGGCTGTTGGTGACCTACCTTGCTGTTTGCTGCTTGTGGCCAGATTGCCTGAATTGCTTACACAAGATTCAGCTGTCTGCTTACTTGACTTGCACCGGCAGCCCTCAAGAGTTGAAGAGCTGGCAGTGTGTTAGCTGTCTCACAGAAGTGAGTTGCTCTGAGCCATCTTTACTTTTTATAGACTAACTAGCTGTTTATTTTGTATGTTGTATATATATCTATCCATATAAATCTATATAAAATAATAAGTATCTTAGTTTTGCTTCTCCAGAGAACCCCGTCTAAAATAGACAACAAAAAAGGAAGAGGCTGTCCACTTCTGAGGAATTAAGCATGGAAAACCTAACGGACAGAATCAGTCATATTAACTTGGGTGAAGAGGAAGGCAATATAATGTTCAATAAGGTGGGCGAGTCAGTAAAGAAATGACCAAGGCAAAGAAAAGCACTCAAAGAAGTACAAGAGTTAAAAGCAACAAAGATGATCCCTTTAGGACCAGTTCTCAGAGTGGCGATGCCAGGAGGGTAGAGGAAGGGTGGGGTGGAAAGGGGGAGCTGATTACAGGGATCTACATATAACCTCCCTGGGGGATGAACAACAGAAAGGTGGGTGAAGGGAGACGTCGGACAGTGTAAGATATGACAAAATAATAATAATTTCTAGATTATCAAGGGTCTGGGAGGGAGGGGAAAAATGGTATCAAGGGCTTAGGCGGAAGGCGGGTGCTTTCAGAGTGATGATGGCAGCAGATGTACAGATGTGCTTGACACAATAGATGTATGTATGGATTGTGAAAAGAGTTGTATGAGCCCCCAATAAAATGATTAAAAAATAAAAGCAACAAAGGTAAAAATGATCACATACATAATCTTGCAATAATCATAATAACAATACTGTACAATGGATACATATACATGAAAACTGAACAGATGTGGAAAGGTAAATGAGATTATACCCCAAAATAAATAAACATACACACATATATATATGTAATATCCTCACCCCCCAAAATATGTTTGTATATATGTACACATATATGCACATGTACATGCATATACATGTATATATGTATAAACATAAATGTTTGGCTTAGAATATTTCTACATATGTATTTACATATGCTTCAAATATATCCATGAATATAGTGGGAAAATTTTGAAAACATTTTAGATGTAACCAAATATCGTGAAGGAGTGATTTAATAGGCCTCGGGGCTCAGGATCATACTTTTGGGAGACATCAAGATCAACTAGCAGAGAATAATTCACAAAGAAAGTGTTCTTCAAGCACACAATATTCCTCTGGTTCCTTGAGGCTTCCTCAGTCCCCACTGTCATGACCCCAGTACTGCTTTTCACTGTGGGCTAGACCGGAGCATGTGAACAGGTACAGATAAAAGACAAGAGCTCATGACACATGGAATCCAGGAACAGGAATGGGAGTATTGCTAACAGAAGGGTAGGGGGAAGGTAGGGATGAGAGGGGAGGAAGGGGTAACCTATCTCAATGATTGACACATAACCACCCCCACCCCCTTCCAGGGGGATGAGCAACATATACCGTGATGGAAAGGAGATAGTGGCCAGTGTAAGATATGTAAACAATAATAATTTATAATTTATCAAGAGTCATGAAGGGGTGGGGAGGGAGGGAAAAAAGAGCTAATACCAAAGGCTCAATATAAAGTAAATAAATGTCCAGGAAAGAATGATGGCAACATATGTACAATAAAATGATCTTTTAATTTAAATAAATAAAAGCTTGTAAGCAGGGAGCTGTTTGTCTCCCCCTTTCTAAAGTGGAGAATAGGGAAGGAAATTAAGAGAACATGAGAACAAACAAAAGAGTAAAGAATCTTGAGAACTTCAACAATTTGAACCCTGAAACCAGAAGAACCAGGTGGTGCCTGGCTGTCACTGTAGATAGTTCGGCAAGGGATCAAACTAGAAGGCCCTGTACAGAGAGCGAAAAATAAACATTGAGTTGTAAACATTCTAAAAGACCAGGCTTACTAATCACATTGAGAATGGTAGAAGCACCAAGATCATAGCCCTTAGTCACCTTTCAGGACTAGAGCTAAATGAACCCTCTACCTTGTCTCAATTTGAGCTAAACAATAGTCAGGCCAATAAGGTGAATAGTAATACCAGAGAGGTAGGCACCCCTTAGAATAATCAACCATTTTGGCTCCAAAGGGCAACATTTGCCCAATGACAAAGTTGAAAAGACAGGAAGAGGCGGGAAAGAAGGAGAAAGGGAAGCAGGAAACCCTGGCTGATGTTACATTGTGGGGATTGCAATCCTGGCATGAAATAAAATATGCATGAACTGATGAATGGAAAACCCATCGGCTCTCTAAATGTTCACTCAATTCGCAAATAAAAGTTTGAAGCAAAAGCAACAGCAAATCAATTTTGGATGAAGTAGAAGAGGAAAGGAGGAATGTCAATCCCAGCTAACATTGCACATTGCACAAAAGAGAAACAGTTACAGGCATCAGATATTGAGTTAATTAAATGTTTAACCAGAATGGTTCAATGAAGGATGTTATAAATATACAAATGGCCTTGACAAGAAAAAAATCCCCCCACTCCTGAAATAGAGTCAGTATGCTCCTTAGAAGCAAGGATGGCAAGACTTGGTTTCACCACTTTTGACATGTTACCAAGAGGGAGAATTTCCTAGAGGAGGACAACATGCTTCGTAAAGCATGAATGTGAAAAAGGAAGCCAGCAGTGGCATATGATAGGAAAGAGAGGGAGAGAAGGGGAAGAAGAGAGAAAAAGAAGGAAAAAGAAAGAGAGAAAAAATCCCCAAACAAACCTGAGCCCACTGAAACTGTGGTGGAAGAGATAGAAGGGCAAGAGAATAAAGAAAGAAGAAATAGAGTGGCAAGTAAGGAGATAGCTGAGACTTGATCACCTGACCATGGCGCTGAAGGAGTTCCAACTCTTCCTCAAGGTAGTAGGGTGGTGTGCCCACTTGATGCAGGGTCCCACAGATGCTGGGTGGGATTACTCTTGAAGACAAGTTGGCAACAGTGGCAGACATCAGTTCCTACCGGTTCCCGGGTATACCTGCCTTGTGTTGTATGTAGCACTACTACAAGGAGGGGTGGTGGGGTGTTTCCTCAGTCCCCTGTAGGCCCCAAGGGAAGGCAGGACCTCATCACTGAGAGGGAAGCTCGGCTTATTGTCCTGTTTAGACAGCTGGTACCCTATTA